CAAAGATTGATGTGCTTTGGAGCGACAGCACTGCCTGTTTTGTGTGTGTTTATATATTATATCTTATTCAATTCACCGTAAGGTATATCGCCGTACCTATATAAGTTACTGTTTCTTAACACAGACATATTATAGGTTTTATAGTTTCGCGCCGAATCCGAACGGCTAACTTAGAGCAAGGCACTACATATCTCAGTAGCTACGAGGTATAGGTTGATATGTGCCATCTTTAAAAAGATATGTAGAGCAGTCGTTCACGAGTCCATGGATAATGTTTCGAAATCGTTGAAGGTTCCTTGAAAAATCAAAGGGTTTGCAAAACTGTGTGTAACGTGGTCACCAGCGTCAGTGATTAACTGTCTTAGATGTTAAATAAATAAAATGACAGGGAATGGTGTACACACTTAAACGTGAAGTGAGGAATGAGGCGAACACATAAAATGTATATATTTTTTTGGTCTGGTAGATACATCCAAAACCTTAAACAAAACAGACATTAGTTATGTCTGTATTATTACTAAACTGTAAAACAAAATATCGATTTATTAAGGTCTAAAAATTCAATAAATCTTGCTAACTACAGCTTATTAGTTATAACTCCATTTCCATGACAACTTGTAGTATCATTTAACACATTCTACCAATGATACAAATGTAACTACCCAACAAACATTTTGTGTAGGGATATGAAAGGCCCAATAACTGTAACTCTCCAATTGTAACGATGGCCATTTAACTTTTATAATTAAAAGGCCAGCATATATAAGTCGGGTCGAAGTCACTTAGCCACCAAATCCAGTTAATAGGCCTTCATTTCCCCTTTAATGTCTGTAGAAATAAATATATTGGCAATTAATGGCATACTGGTGGGAATTATTCTCGATTCGTATGAATAGTCCTCTTGCTGTTGCTCTTTATAGTTTTTCACTATACCCAAAAAATATATAAGCCGAATCTGTATATATTCATTCCAATTTTTATTCAAATTTGTAACATGATTTTTTGTTTAAAACTTCTTTAATATTGCTTCGCACCCCTCTCCCAATAGAGCGCGCCCCCAGTTTGGAAACCACTGATTTACACAGAACAACTTGCCACAATGGTGCCACTGAATAGTAATTTAGCTGGACCTGAAACATATCTATAAATTAATGTTAAACACTATGAAACAGAAACTTTTAAATATTTATTCAACTGGAATTGGTAAAAAATATTAAATATACTATTTTTTTTCTTTCTCTATCGCCAGTCGATCTCAAGCATGGCTTTATTGTAGTTTCAACGACCGTGGAAGTCACATTCCTTGCCATAGATTTTTTTAAAGAATATATTGATAGCGGAAAAAATAAGTTCACTATATATTGAATGACCAAATAAAAGGAGTCATTTTTATTCTGATATTTCAGAAAATAACAAAATATATTCTATAAATGTTTTTTAATCAGTTCCTGCTGCACTCCTTGGCATAGATACATCAGTTTTATGTGTTGCAGCTAAGTCATTAAAATCAACTTGATTTAGTATCTCATTACGACGTTTTAATTAATATTTTATTTTCCGATATCCACAGCTTTTACTCTTATGTTCATAGGATATTTTATTAAACGCAACAGTATTTATAGGAAGGTGGAGTTGAGAAAGAATATAGTTTAGATAAACTTTTCAATATTTAAAACAAAAATGAAGTAGGTTTCAAAATTAATACATATAAAATGCTTACTATTATTATCCTCCAGAAAACCCATATTTCAAGAGAAGAGATGAGTTTCAAATTTCAGACTGTAAAAACTTTCAAATACATACATTTATTTGTACACAATACCAACGCTCGCATTTCCAAAGCATATATAAATTTATAGGTCATGTATGTACCCTGCCCTGATTCTTTTTCTTTTCTAAAAGTAGTAAAACGATTTTACCGATTATTTCCTAACGAAAAGCCAATTTGTCAGCTGATGATGACCCAACAGCAATAGCAGTTAAAAGCCTTTTACCATGTATTTACCAAATACAGTTACTTATCCTTCATAAGGCCATCATCAACCAATATGGGCCACTGCTAGGTCACTATCGAAAGGCCAAAAGTAGGCTGGCGAGCAATTGTTGGATAGTGTCTACTTTATTCATGTTTTCTTGTAGAGGTACATATCGGACGAAAGTGTGGTGGTGGCTATTTAGCCGAAAGCGGTGGCCGAATTTTATGTATTAATTTTTTTATACATTTGACGTACTCGTCTCGTTCCTCACTATGTTAAATATTCCAATGATTGTGCCAGTGTCTCTTGAAAAATCGATTGTCTTTTGTATGGTCTTGTTGAGAAGCCCATGTAGCCTAAACTCTACTTGAATTCACCCAGTACATATTTTGTTATAAAAAATTAAATATCTACTTTTTTTATTTACTATACAGAATAAGTTGTTTCTTCGAATACACTAAAAATTGAGATGTTTAATTTGATATTTATATGTTAAATTATCTTGTTCTTCGAATAAATTTAAGAAATTTTAATATTTCTTATTTCTGCCACATCATCTATACAGGGTGTCCCGAAATTAGACGGTCATATTTTAACAGCGTGATCTACATCCTAAAATAAGAATAAAAGTTCATATAAACATAGGTCCAAAAACGTTTCGTTTTCGACATACAGGGTGTTACAAGTGAAGTCCTGATGGCCTATTTTTGTAAATATTTTTTAAAATTTCTTTAGTCACTGGTTTTCTAAAGTTAAAAAAAATTAAATTTCCGATTTCACAGGCCTACTAATTATTGTTTACACTTTCGAATAACTTATCTTGAAATTTTCAAATGCTTTTTTCTTGAAAATGGTGCGTCCTAGCGAGATGCAACAATAGTAGCTTTATTATGAAGAAAACATTAGTTTTCCAAATTTTATAGCTAAAAGTGGTAAAAACTGTCAACAAAAAAAACTTAGGGCAATTTTACCCTAAGCCCCCCCTACTTTACCCACCTATGAAGATGATCAAAAACTGGGGTTTAGTCCATTAGATAGAGCGTAAAAAGGTTAGCATTTGTACCAAATTTTACTTAGTTGTATTTAAACGTTTAGAAAATATTTACAAAAGAGTGTCATCAGGACTTCACTTTTAACACCCTGTATCTCGGAAAAGAAACGTTTTCGGACCTATGTTTATATGAACTTTTACTCCTATTTTAGGATGTAGATTATGCTGTTAAAATATGACCGTCTAATTTCGGGACACCCTGTATATAGGCAAAGACAAAATGGTTCAGTACCATTTTCTCTTCTGTTTGAGAACCGATTTTCTTCTTTTAAATTTTGTTTAGTAGCTATTAATGAGATTTAGTGTTAACAATAATTTTTTTTTAAAATGGTATTTTTTCTTAACCTTTGATCTGTATCTCTAACGTGTGGAGGGTGGGTTACCCCCACGGCACTTAGGCCTCATTAGGCCCATTGTGCATCCTCCTAAGATGATAGGCACCTCCTAGCACGTGAGCCAGCCTACAGATTTAATGTAGTTGACATCGTCGCCAAGAGGTGCTTCTCTTATATCGGCCGGTGTTAGCCGATACTCGCCGAACACAAATCTTCTAATAAATTAGAGCGTCGGGCAATCGTAAAGGATATGCTCGATGGGCTCATCTTCTTGTTCGCATCCTCTGCAGAGTGCGGATTCTGACAGCCCCATGATATGGAGATGCTTCCGTACTTGGCAATGACCAGTCAGAATGCCTGTGACCAGACGCAGATTCTGTCTAGTCATAGTCAAGTATTTGTTTGCTGCAGGGTTGTCAGGATAACTTAAGAGCTCCCTGGCAACTCTGCAGTTTCTTGTTTCATCCCACCTTTCCTTGAATTTCACAAGGGAATGTTCTTTAATTAGGTCTATCACTACCGATTTTGTCAGGCCACTAAAACAGCCAGGTCCAAAAAGTATTTGGTTGGCTGCTTTCTTGGCTAGTGAATCGGCAAGACGGTTACCTTTCGATGTGGCGTGACCTTTGATCCATCTTAAGGTGACCACATTGTTGATGGATACTTCGGCCAAAGCTTCGTGACATTCTAGTACTAACCCTGAATAAATTTGTGGTCTGTTCAGGGTGAGTAGTGCTTGTCTGCTATCTGTATAGATGAGCATGTTGCTTCCAGCGATATTATTTCTGGTGATTTCTTTTGCTGCTATGAGAATCCCCGTGAGCTCGGTTATGACATGTATAATTGAACTGTCAAACGCAACAGTATTATTTTTGTGATTAATAAATACATTTATTTTTTGATATATAGAACCGATAATTGATTATTTTACTGAACACCTAATTCCTCTGATTCTGAAAAATGTAAAATAAATAATAAAAATAGGAGAAAATAAAAATATATTTATATTACGAAGTAACTTTTTATTGTTTTCAGTTAAATATATTTATTTTACGAAGTAACTTTTTATTGTTTTCAGTTTTGAAAACCATTTTTTTAAGAACTTCAATTTTTAAGCAACCTTCGGTATAGTTTTTATTTAACTATATGAAAGTGATTTTTATCCTGTTCTGCTAATCTCGTTCCTCCCATCTCTACCTCCACGTTGAGCCTTGCTGGATAGTGGCTTAATAAAAAATTATGCAACTAACAAAGTAGATATTTTGTAATGTTCAATTTCAAAAATTTCAGTATCTTCAATATTCTCGTTCCGCCACTGGTTTTATTGGTGTTTTTTAAGGTCTTGAAAAAAACGAACTAAAAGTCATAACATTAAAATATATTTAGATCCGTATCGATAAAGAAAAACAACTTTTTATACTATATGAAGAAAATATACATCTGCCTAATAATTTTCAACATTCATCCATCCTCAAATTTAAAATATACAAGCCTTACACCTTTATCAATAATATATACATATTCGATTTTCATTAATAACTTAAAACTTCGTATTCACAAATTTAAAGTAATAAGGTTAAAAATAGTAATAAAAATATTAAAATAAATAGTTTTTTTTCTCAAATTTTTAAATACAAACCCGTTATTTGCATACCATGCGGCAAATTTGTACAACTCGTTATTTCATAACAGACATTATTGTTCTTTACATTTATACTTCTAGATTGATCAAGACGTCTTTTATGTCATGAAGGCGGAGGATATTCTTCTATTTCGCGAAACGGTGATCTGCACATCGGACATTCTATTAACTGATTGGCACAAGATTCACAAAATCCACTAAAATAGAAAAAGATATATATAACAATCAGAGTAATAAAAAAATGAAAAAATTGAATACTAAAATTTAACTATTGACATAACTCTATTTCGATTTTCATTATTTTTATTGTAATTAACACAGGGTTGTTCGAAACCACCAAAAATTATTAAATTCGTAACTATTTTGCTATAACTGGTTTTATGTGGTTGATGTCTTCCTGGATTCAATTCCAAATATCTAGCAGACGCTGTTTCAGCAACTCGGTGCGATTGCAAATAAATTGCCAACACACCAAATTTTTCATCATTTGAAAATTTCATTAAAAAAAAAAAAGATTTATCAAACTATTTAACCCACTTCTTATAATCTTTAACAAAGAAAAAAATTCATGTAAAAATGCCTGAAATAATATTCATTCTTCCGATATTATAATGTCTAAGATCCGAAGTAAGGTCGACCGTCACCCATCTGTTTAATGGATGAAAGTGGCTTTTTATTAAATAAAATATGTTTATAAATATACCGCAAATGGGTTACCTAAGAAAATACGGATCAGACTATTTATTTTCTTAAAGTAAATAAAAACGACACCCTGTAAAGTATTCCCCAGATGCTTCGGCTATGCACAAACTTTAATCTGCTCACTGCAGGATGGATTAATGCTTAAATTTAAAATTTCATCCGTTTTTGAGTTATCTTCAAAATTCGAAATTTGCACTTTTCCTCAAATATCTCGAATTAGGTCCAAAAAATGGCCGTGACCGTATTTTCTTAGGCAACCCATTTGCGGTATATTTAAACATATTTTATTTAATAAAAAAAAAACTTTTATCCTATAAACAGATGGGTGAAGGTCGACCTTACTTACGTATCCTGGACTTATACCAAGTAACTTTTATTATTTGAGATTGACAATTTTAAAAAAGGTTAAGTTTTCATAATTGCTAACTACTAATTCTGTAATTTTGATTTGTTTTTTTTCCAATATAAACCTAAATTATTTTCAATTGTATTTAATTCATGTAATACCTCTAATTTGTTTAAAAACTAATAAAGGAAGGCTAGCTTAAAAAGTGCTTTAAAGTTCTTACTTACTATCTGAAATCAGATATTTAAAAAATATTATGCTGTAGAACATGTTATTTTAGCGGTGTTGCCAAATTAACGAAAATATTATTAATAAAGTGGATGACATGTGGCACATCTTTTAAAAAGTAATTTAAAGGGTAACAATATTATGTAGAAATCTGTTGTGGACGAGTATCGAGTGGTTAAATCTTTATTACAGAAATATAAATCAACAGTTAAGAAATTACAAATTAAATCCGAAACTTTAATGTGCTGCTTCCTTTCCTTACTCAGCTACCGCTGGTTCCCAACACTCCTCCCTTTCTTTTAGAAGTAATCTTGTAGATGACTTGGTTTTCTAGTACATCTTCTTGATCTTTATAGAAAAACTGCATTTTTCATCACCGGATCTCCACTCAGAGTTGGCAATCTATCTGAAATCGAAGTTGACGAGTGTACTGGTAAGTTAGTTTTCTCAGGTGGCTGATTTCATTGGATTTGACTCTCAATTTATATTTTGTTGGGTTTCACATCAAAGGTACCCAGAAGATGTCGAAAGGAAGATCATTTTGTCCATTTGTAGAAGTATATCTGTGTTTTATTTATGTGAACCCTTCTTAGCCTAACGTTTCCTTTAAGCATCAAAACGTTGTATATAACATTTTCTATTTGTTCAACAACTTGACCTCTAGTCATTTATATCCATTATTTAAATGGATTTGTACATAATCGACGACATTTAGTAGGTAACGCCTTTGAATGTTCTTGGCCTGACTATCTTTTGATTTTTGGGGGAAACACAGAACCAAAATAATACGCATTTTCCCCTCTGATGAATTTGGATAGGGTGTTGATTTGTATACTATCAGAAATTGTTGAATCTGACCATCTTGAAGGTAATCCCCTTTTTTAAATTTTCTGAGTGCACATTTAAACATATCAACGAACTTCTCCACTTGACCATTAGGTTGTGGCCAGAATGGCGCTGATCGAATATGCTCTGCTCCATTAATTTGACAGAACTGCTTGAAAAGTTCACTAGTAAATTGTGTTCCGTTATCTGTGACTATAGTTACAGGTAGTCCAAACCGGGAAAATACTTTTTTTAATACAGAAACCGTGAATTTTGATGTTATAGTTTTTGTGCTGAATATTTCTGGCTGTTTTGAAGGTTCTAAAATTAATAGGTAGGTTTTCAATTGATGCATCGAAAATTTGACAGATTTCTTTATTTTATCTGAGCTATGACAATTTCTTCGTTTTGCTCTAGATTACTGCTTATTAATCTAGACAAAATAGTCTGCTGTTCTCACAAACTCGATTTTGCAGTTATAAGCTTTTAAAATTAGTGCCCAACCTTGAAATCGATTAGCTATGTAGACCTTACTTCCATCCGAATATTGTAAGAAGTGGTTTATGATCTGTTTGAATGGTTAATTTTCGACCATATAACATCTCTTGAAATTTAGTTACAGCAAAAATACGCGCTAAACCTTCTTTATCTAGCTGACTGTAGTCTTCAGTCTCTGTTAGAGTTCTTGAAGCATAATTAATTGATTGTCTTAGTAGTATCATCTTCAAATCGATGTAAAATACACGCTCAAATACCATAATTACTTGCGTTTCCAGCCAAGATGATTTTATGATTAGGATCATAATAGGTTAAAAGCAAGTTAGACTGTAAAATATCTTTAAAGCTATCAAAGGATACTTGACACTCTCTTAACCAATTAAGGTAGTTCACTCGTAAAACGGCTTTTCTTAAGAATTCAATAAAATTGAAATATAAGGTTTATGAAAGTGTCGTTTACGTAACTAAACAAAATTAGATTTTTTGACCGTCTGTGAAACGAGATATTAACAATCAAAATGTGCATAATTAACACTCTTGAAGCCTATCATGTACACCAGCAATGCATTTATTTCAAGATATCTCGAAAACGGTTCTTACCATATTTTTTAAAAACTAATATTAAATAAATCAAGAAGTTATAAAATTTTATAAATAATCGCTGAATTTTTTGACCGTCTTAGTAAAAAGATATAGATTTTTAAAATAAAAATATTTTTGAAGCAGTTGAGGAGTAGTTTCGTAAAATTATTATAATTTCGCAACATTGTAACCACTTCACGTAACAAAGTAACACTCGATCAGCTAAGAGGTTATTATAAACTCGCGACGTGTTCTTGAAAAATTAATTCGTCCACTGTGATTGAGAACTGGAATCAGCGGTTCTGTTTGAACCAAGACAAACCCTTAAAATTAGTATGATAAATCACAATTTCTATACCAGATCGTTTAAATATATTGCCGGATGAATTTGATTAAAATTCTAACATGTCCATATGTGTTTATATACATATATTTTGTACAGTCTCTTACAAAAATAAAATTGATTAGCATTGAGAATCTCTAACTTTTGGTATTTACCATTACGCTATATTTTTATGTACGACTGTCGCGAGTGAACTACCTTAAATTTTGAATTTTTCATTAGAAGTTCATTTAAAGGTTGAGAAGTTTGTGCATATCCTTAATGTATTTTTCCATAGTAATTAATGGTACCAAGGCTGGCAATGTCATGTGGTATAGGCATGTTTCTTATAACTTCTGTTTTGGACGGTCCTGGTCGAATTCCCTTTTCATTTAAAATATATCCCAAATACAATTTCTCTTACGCCAAATTTACATTTTTGGAGTTTAACATGAAGGTTTCATTTCACAAAATGATTTTATTGAGAAAAATATGTTTGAGGTTTTACAATAATTGCGTTATGAATCTTAGATATTTTCAAAATTGGAAATTAAATCTATCACAGAAGAAAAATATAGCATGTGTGAATTTTCTTTATATGTATACGAGTATGTGTATATTTTTTAAAATGTCACTTAACATCTTTATCCACTTATGTCTTCAAATGTATGCTACGCATTAAATTACTAATAAAATTTTAGCTTTCAAATGAAATGTCACCCTTTGCAATATGTAACAGTATTTTATCCCGTTGAAGAGAACTAAAATCAAAAATAATACTTGGTAATTTCCCTGTTTAAGGTTAGTGACGGGAGGCATTAGTATGACGTATGAAAGGTGTCTTATTTGGAATAAAAATTGACTGGTATTCTTTGGAAATCCCTAAATACATCCCAAAATTATCCCAACGAAATAATGAAAATTATTTTAGGACGCCAAAATGAAACAAATTTAATTAGAAAAATCTGTCCACAGGGGGATTCAAACCCACCTACCGTGTTCTACGCACACCGCTCTGATAGCGCAGTTGGCCAGAGAGGTGTGAGTAGAACATGGATAGCTGGGTTCGAATCTTCCCATGGACAGCATTTTTTCAATTTTGTATTAATTTGTTTTCACCTTGGGGTCCAAAAATAATTTTCATTATTTGGTAGGGGTAATTTTGGGATTTATTTGGGTATTTTCAAGGAATATGATATCCTAGTTTTCGGATATCTAACCAATAAGTTTTCAGAACTTCCAAACCGATTGGTTATTTTTTTTAATTTATATTTCAAAATATACTGAAATCGGAGAGGAATTAAATCTTTTGACTTACGAATGTTCGCAAGGAAGCAATCGAATGGTGGCCTTCTGGTCATAACAAAGCGTACAACTATCCTCGCCTATATTTTGTTCTCTAAGCTGATTCAAGAATATATGTCTTGGCAAGACGATTTTGTCTTCGGGCGTCAGAGATCCATGATCATTGAAAGTGGAATAGGCCACTTTCGGGGGATGTTCAAACGGTTCAGCACCGAAATTAAAACGACATTGTTGGAATGACATGAAGCTGGCTGCGGCAAAAAATCCTGACCTAAAATTTTCAATAACTTTCAGTTAGAAATATTAAAAAAAAAAAAATATTTTTATCACTGTTAAAACTACTTTATTATTGATTTTTGAGAATAAAATATTCTTGATAAAAGTTAGTGCTTTACATGAAACGTACTACTAATTTAAAACATTTAAAAAAATATATTATGATTTATGAAGGAAATAAAGTAATATGAATTTGGTTCCAGAGTAAAGTACGAGAGCTGTTTTTTGTTTAACCTCCGATAGGCTATAAAGGAAAGACGGGTGAATATAAAAAAATGATTTTATTACCAAAAGTAATGTATATTAAAGATTACTTCTCTACCTAATTACCTTGATAATTGAGGCATTTGTCATATTTGTGCATAAGCTTTGCATTACCCTCTTCATAAAATGTTGCCGCCAGTGACTTGAAGTGAGTTGTCGTTTGAAAGTGCTCTACCCCAAGCCACTTCTTCAGTTCAGGGAAACGATGTCACTCGGCGCTAGGTCGGGACTATATGATGGGTGTTCAAAAAGGTTATACGAGCACTATGAGAATGGACATTGTCATGGATTAGAACAATTATTTCAGAAGTCCTTCTTTTGTTTTGAATAGCTCTTATAAACCTCTCTCTATGCACTCGACTTATTCTTCAATGAATTTCCGCTGCACTATTCCCTACTGCCTGCAAGAAACGAATAACTCTTCCCAATTCACACTTGGCGGGAGAAAAAATTCAGAGAGCCATATTTACTTCACTGCAGCTCAACAAGAAATGGCGTGTTAGACTTGGTAATGACAGAGTGTGTGGAAGGGAAGAGGCGCCAGCCACCCCATGCCTCATACTGTGGGATCTGATGTTGAAAAAAATAGCCCTCATACATACCCTTACATTAAAAAATATAGTAAAATTATATTTGAAAAACTTGTTTATAAATATTACTTACGTTAAAATATGAAATCACAACCTCTTATCTCAAAACAATATCCATTCCAATATTTTCCTTGCAGCAAAGTTAAAAGTGAACTGTGACATGTTAAATTAGTTTCCTTAGATTATTCTAAGCTTATGTAATGGTTTTTAGTTAAAATAATAGATTTTAATCTAGTTTAATATGTTCATTTACAGAGTAAGACACTAACTTTGCACCAATAAAAGATTAATTGGGTATATTTCTAAAGTCTATGTAAAAAATATGTATATTAAACTAAGTTAAATCTATTATTTTGAATAAAAACCATTATATAGAGTTGGAATAATCTGTGAAAACTAATTCCAGTTCACTTCTAGCTTTACTACAAGGAAACATATTGATTTGGGATATGAAGCTATGAATTTATATTTGGGATATGAGGCTATGAATTCATATTTGGGATATAAGGCATTTCCATATTTGGGATTGTTTTGAAACAAATTTTACAAATTTTTATTTGTTAAATTCATATTTTTTTGACATGTTATTTTTTCATGTTTTAATTTAATAATATCATTTTTCAGGTGAACCAACTTTTATCAATATTTTTTCTTCTCAAAAATCAATAATCAAAAAGTTCCATATGGTGCAACTTTTTATGTATGTTATGGTAAATGTAGGAAATTGGTTAAAAACATAATAATGTGAATGTCCAGTTAATAACGTTATTAATTATTATTGTATAGGATTTATTAACGTGATTTTCCGGTTATTAACCAGAAAATAGTAAATGCTAAAAATTGAAAAGACATTGACCGCTGATTAGCGTGAATATCCTATAAAAGTGGTTAAATATAAGAATGACATAAAGGGCAAATATTGGATCAAAATATTAAAGATGTATATATTTTACTATAATAAAACAAAAATATAAATAAATTGTAACAAAATACAAAAATGTATACATTTGTTTTTATTTATTTGAGTATACACTCCTAACTTGCTACACTAAAAAAGTCGCTGTGACTATCGACTATCGATTGGCCGCCATTATTTTGGTGCTTAGCATTTAGGCAACACCAAAATATTTTACTCGTGTTTATTTGTGATTTTTGAATTAACGACATTTGATAATCAGTTTGTTACAATGATTTATTGTGTTGCATATCAGTGTAAAAGTTGTAGCGACAAGAATTACCCAGATATTACCTTTCACAGGTAAATAATAAACATGAATCATGTATACTTTGTATATTTTATTAGGTCATTGTACAGCTTGGTATTTATATATTGTACATGTCTCACTCCAGAGCAATAAATATTACCCGATAAGTTTATTTTCATTAATTTTTAAGCAATTTTTTCCAATGGCGTGTCGTACAATTCTAATTTATCAAATACTCTTTAGTGATGAATCTACTTTCCAAAAATGAACATGAATTTTGAACTGTAGATCGACAAAACCGATGGTCGTTAAACGTTTATAGTGGAATGAATTTTTTTTTTTAATTTTTAAAGCTAGATTCTTGGAACCTTCTTTTGGATATTAGACGAAACATTTCCTGAAAACTGGATAGGAAGAATAGAGACTCTACTAATTTTCCCCCTATCTGTAACGTGTGGAAGGCGGGTTACCCCCACGGGACTTAGGCCTCATTAGGTTCATTGTGCATCCTCCTAACATTACAGGCACCTCCTAGCTCGTGAGCCAACCTAGATTTAATGTAGTTGACAACGTCGCCAAGAGGGGCTTCTCTTATATCGACCGAGTTAGCTGATACTCGCCGAACACAAATCCAATAGTGCAGAGTGCGGATTCTGATATGGATATGCTTCCGTACTTGGCAATGACCAGTCAAAATACATGTGACCAGGCGCAGATTTTGTCTAGTCATATTCAAGTATTCGTTTGCTATATTGTCAGGATATCTTAAAAGCTTCCTGGAAACTCTACAGTTTCTTGTTTCATCCCATCTTTCATTGAATTTCACAAGGGAATGTTCTTTAATTAGGTCTGTCACTACCGATTTTGTCAGGCCAATAGAAGGGCAAGGTCCAAAAAGTCTTTGGTGGCCTGCCTTCTTGGCCAGTGAATCAGCAAGACAGCTACCTTTCGATGTGGCATGACCCTTGATCCACATTAAGGTGACCACATTGTTGATAGATACTTCGGCCTGAGTAAATTCGTGGGCTGTTCAGGGTGAGTAGTGCTTGTCTGCTATCTGTATAGATGAGAATCCACGTGAGCCCTGTTTGAACTACACTGGCACCAAAGCTCACAGCCCATTTGATGTTTAGGTCTAAGGATCTAGAGTATATTACACATCCTGAGCCTTCTTTTGTTTTAAAACCGTCGGTGTAGATACGAATTGTACCTGCCACTTATGGCTCTTCTATTTGTTCTGTTATAACTTTATAAGGCTTATGGAAGATATATCTCGATGAGATGGAGTCCATGTTCGCTTGAAGCAGTGGGAGCGTATCGAGCGCCACCTGCCAAAAGCGACGGCTCGCCTCACCAGACCCTACATCAGGTTCTATTCCAACCAATATCAAGAGGAGTGAGACTAAGAATAACTTCCATGGCTCCAGTCGGTGTGGTTTTCATGGTTTCTGTTATGTTGAGACATACTGATCTTTGAATTTGTTCCAGTTTGCAGATAGCCGTCAATTTTTGGGTTTTCGGTATCCAGACAACTTCATAGTATGTTAGCATAGGTCTTATGATGGCTGTGTAAGTCCATATAACGAGTCTGGGGGAGAAACCCCAGGTGCGCCCCACGGTTCAGCGACATTGTTCATAAGCAATGTATGCCCTTTTGACTATTTTTTATAACTGTGAGTTCCTTGTTAACTTGATGTCAAAGGTGAGATCTAAGGTACTTCATCTCTGTTGCAAAGTTTAGTTTTGTGTTTAGAAGTTCTTAAAGTTTTAATTCCACTTTTATCCTTTTCCTTGTGAAAAGGGCTTGATAGGCAGTGAATGGTCCTTGTACCACTGTTCTTACTGTGGCAGATTTCTAAATAGGCGAGCTAGGCTATAATATATAGCATCAAATTTTTGAAGGCGGAATTACTTATCTCTCTACTCGATTTTCGCTAAGGTATTAATTAATTATCAAAGATTATTAAATTAATATTATTTTTAAGAGTAGAACTTAAAATTAAGAGAAAATATAGGGTGTCCCATTAAAAAAATATATAATTTTATATTGGTGTTTTGTTTGGGATATATGAAACAAATTTTAATTCGTAGCCAGCATTGAGTTGTATTTTTGTGCCGAAAGGATGTTTAATATCGTTTGTAATTTACCCACCAGGCTCCGTCCCGTTGATCGTGACGCACCTTGTATATTAATATATTTTTTCTTGTGCCTTATTTATTGTTCCCCATTTATTTTAATTTTTACCCTTTGAACTTGCTTTATGTCTAAAAAGATCAATAAAGTACTAACAACATAAATAAGTTCTTTGATTTATTTTCAACATGTTACGCCTTTGGTCAACTAGCATTGGTGTCAGAATGTAACACGATTTCCTGCGACATTACGAGTCCTCTCTTTATACCTAGTCTATGGTGACTATCCACACGTTAACCTGTCGCGATTCTGAAAATAGGGGGTTATGATTGACGACCTGTGTTATTTTTAACAGGTCTGTTATTTTATAAACACACAGAAATTACAACCTGTTCACAAATAACGTGTCTGTTAAAAATAACATTACTTGTCTATCATAACCCCGATAACCACCCATAAGATGTCACTCGTGATGTTATTAGTCACTTTATTATTATCACTAATCTGAGCTAACTTACATCGACTGAGCTTAGTTGTACGTTTTTTTGTAATTATAAGTCAGAACCTCTCTTCCCCGCTTACCTATGACAAGGTACACGGATTTTGACGTCAACCATAAACCATAAGAGAAAATGAGTGTTCTGTGCACATATGAACAAACATATCATATGAATTGATTATTTAAGAGAGTACCAGACTATGATAACAGGGAGCATGATCGTAGTGTTGAATGTTGAAGAAATTTTAAAATTTGATAAAAATGTTGAATGTTTTTAAACGGATGACATGAGTCTGTCAACCAAAATATACGTTTTTTTACAGTTTAGTTCAGATCAGAATCTAACTTTTAGTTAATCAAGTATAAGTGCAAAAAGAAAACAACTATTGTTGTTTATTTCTTGATACATAACTATTTATTTACCATTTAAGAACTAATGGCGTAGCGTTGGTGCAGAATTCTACATATTATATCTTAACTTGACACTAGAAATAATATATTAAAATTGAACTTTAACGTTTTGGTTAAAAATTCTATTACAAAAAAAAACAATAAAAATTTCTTAATAATTCGTAAAGGGATTTTTGAGATTTGTTTCAGAATTTTCAAATTATTCTACAACTTATTTAAGATATTTCTGACTTTTCGGGAAAAATGGCAGAAATAATAGCTGCCAATCAGTAGAAAATCACTAGAGTATACATTTCTGGCATTTAACATGGGTTTTGTCTTATATTACGCAAAATAACTCAATAGAATATGGAAGAATTATAATTAATGTATGTTTTATTTAATTATAATGACATATTTTCCATAATTTGTGTGGCATATTGGCGAACCTGTTATTATAACCCAAGGAACATATACATACAAGGAGATGAAGTATCCATTACTACGAACCTTTAAAAACAACAAATTATTAATATTTTGTGGTTTTCAACAGTTTTTGAGTGAATAAACTAAAAATAATAAAAAAACACCTGAATCTGAAAATGGGGAACTTAGCTATCCTCTACTATATAACTAAGTTGGAAATAAGTGTACCTGTAGGGGGGCTTATAACATATGCGCGTTATATCAACAGGTTAGTGCGCAACACATCCGCGCATACCGGTCCGTTTTACAATAATAAAATGATATTTAAATTTAAAGTACACTGAATAATTCAAATATATTTCGCACACGGTAAGTATTGTTTTAAAATTATATATTTATATACATACTACAATTATTTGAAAAACATGAATTGATCAATTATTTGTACAATGTAAATCTGACTTTGGGATTGTCGCCCGATCGAACCGATACAGTAACAAAACAATATGGTTATGGTTGCTGAATAAAACGTAGTAAGTACTTTTATTTAATTTTAGTTTTAGTTAAACATGTTAAATTTAAAATTAAGCAAAGATATTTTGATGTTTTAACATGTGTTTAGCAGGTCCTGTTCGTAATAAATTCATAATATCTATGTAATAGCGTTGTTTGTATAAAGGTAAATAGTACAATTTGCTGTCCAAAATTGGCTTTGCCTTTGGTACCCTTGAAAGCTAAATTAACAGTAAAGAGTAATACTAAAGTAATATTGTTATCATACCGTCAAACAAATTACCAGTGAAAAGAATAAAATTTCATCCAATGAAATATAATTATTACCTAAAAAACAATGATTAGATCTTGGATTTTTAAATCAAACCAGTGAATGGTTAGCTCCAAGGAAGAAAAAACTCTATTTTATAATTAGAAAACAGCAAAGTAAAATTTGAGAATCAAAGAAGGACCTTATAGCTTGATCCCGCAGACATCTGTTTTTTTAAAAGTACTACATCTAATTAAAAAAGATGAAGGGACCACCATTATTAATTATAAAATATTATAATGAAAGTATAAAACTGTAACAATGTCTAAAAGAAAAAAGAGATTCAGAATGATATGAAGTTAAAATACTACTTTGAATTTTTTCTGTTTCAGATTATATGGATGGTTCTCCTTCATGTGTTTTGTTACCTACCCAAGTTTACAGAAAGTTTTAGTTGTTTTATTAAAATATTGTTTATTTAGAAAATCTATTATAAATTAGTTTTAATGATATAATAGATAATACAATTATTTTATATTACATTATTTTACCCTTCCTAAAATTATGGGTCATAAAATTTTACATTTTGATTGGCATTTTGTTACATCTTGCACCTTGTCTGTGTTGTAAAAAATGCCAATAAAAATGCAAAATTTTAGTTATAGAGCTACAAACAAAATCCCGCTAATTTTTAAATAAAATAAAATATTACCGACTGAGAAATAGTTGGACAAATCCCTCCCATTTGGCGCTGATAACAAACATGTTGCCACATTTATACAAAGAAACGGCAACTCTTAATTATCCTTCCTCCATGTGTACCTGTTTAGTGACGTCTTACGTGTGGCTAATTATTTCAAATTGCGACAGGTTAACTTGTGGGTAGTCACAGCATAAACAATATAAACATAAAATTTATATTGGAATTGTATTGGTAACTTTCAAACCATACTACTTTGATTTGACATTTGAATTTTCATCAAACTTTTCGTTTTCTCGGACCACTCTCAACTTATTTTTCTTTAATTAGGAACCTGGATATTTTATGACACTATTCAAAAAAACTTTTTATCCTGTACAGCGGTGTATCATACAATGCCATTCAATGACGGTTTTTGAGTAAAATGGACCGTAATCAAAATTTAATTGGTAGGGATCTGTACTGAATATATAATCAAGGGTAATATACCAAGACCTTGGTAATAGTCATCTATTTTTGTTGAATCTAAATCTCGAGAATTTATGATGAGACATAATTTTTGGCATTAATCAATTGATTATTTGCCTTTTATAGAATGCATTTATTACTTTTGATTCACACTTTATATCTATTAGAATTTTCGTGCCTTCATAATAAAGTCAATTTTATTTTTTATTATTATTATTATTATTACTTACATTTATTTTATTTATGGTGAGCTTAACTCAGAATAGCGTTCTAGAGCTAATATTTAATCTTTAGAAAAATTAAATTACAATTTTTGTATTTTACTTACTTTGCCATAGTGAACACATGTATACATGGTGGTAAGCTTACTCCATTTACGGAAAAAATAATCTGTTGATTATCTAAGTCTAATAAACATCCTAATATATCTCCAGATTGCCACCTTGGCAAACTCTGTGGGTCAGATTTGGCATTGTACCATATTAATTTTCGACAACCATCATATGCCAATGAATACCTGTCATCACCAATACCATAACCTTCCTAAAAAAAACAACAGATCTGTTTAACAATATTTTTTTTGAAAAGTACGTAATTTTAAAGTAGACTCTCTTCCACTAATAAAAAGTCCACGTGGATCCTAGCAGTGCCAAACAAATTAGTTTGTAAATTAAATATCTCGTTTTTGAAATGCTATTATTGCATTTAAGAAAATTTTAATTATTAAAAATATTCCTAATAACATTTTAGTTAAATAATCATTAGATCTAAATTTCTTGTTTCTTAGCGATAGGGGTTAAACATTTCTCTATTCTTAAATAGATACATTTGGCATTAAAATATTATGGAAACTGCATAAAATGTTACAATTTTATTATTAAATATTGACTTACAGGAGTCTTAATTATTCTAATAACTCTTTTTGGTATGTATATTTTTTCAACAGTGTAATTTGAGTCCCAAGAAATGATTCCATATCTAAAAACAGATTCAAAACTAACAAAAGGTGGGCATCACAGATTCTTTTTTTAAATATTTACTAGTTATTCTATATATTTTACACAATTTACAAGCAGTTTTCTTCTATGTTTCGACTAACATAGGAATTAATCAATGTAAATACCCAAAAACTTTGAATCTGTACTTAGTTCAAACTATATAATAAGTAGCTTTTCATTACCCAATAGATTATTGGCAAACATTATAGCTTTAGTCTTTATTCTATTTAAAATAGGTTTGTTTTTTTATGAGCCAGTTTATTACCATAGATTACTTACACCCAGGGGCGCATGTATGGAGGGGGGTAATGGGGGTGAGTACCTCTCAAGAATTTTTAAACCTTTTTATAGATATTAAAACGTACTATTATTAAAAATAAAGTCTAAAATATTACCACTACCCCCTCCAGACTCAACTTTATTTACTACCAGGCCCGACGAGAGGGGGGGGGGGCAACTGTAGGTTGTTTTGAAGAGACACAAGACCTTTTTTTTAGAAGCGTGTCAGAAAAAAGAGGACCTGGATTACGAAAAATACAAGCTGAGGCCTTTTTTTTGTTGACAAAGAACCTCAAAAAAAGAGAGATACATGGCCATACCATGGAGGTAAAATAGGAAAGGAGATGCAATCACGTAGTCAAAAGTGTCACCACGTCGGCCACATTGATACTAGACTTCCTTCACTTTTGACAGTTTCTACTTTAATGTTTATATAAACTATTCGTCTCAAAAACGTTAAAAGAATGGCGTCGTGTGCCAAGCGCAATTGCACAAGTAACAATGGTGTGGATAACAAGAAAATGTAAAAAATAACATTTCTAAGGTAAGTATAAACACAGTGCAGAGTGGCATTAAAATAAAATGTTTATACAGGGTGTCTCGAAATTAGAGGGTCATATTTCAACAGCATAATCTACATCCTAAAATAGGAATAAAAGTTTATATAAACATAAGTCGATTTCGAGATACAGGGTGTTAAAAGTCCTGGACACTCTTTTGTAAATATTTTCTATACGTTTAAAGATAATTAACTAAAATTTGGTACAAATGCTTACCTTTTACGCTCTATTTAATGGACTAAATCCCAGTTTTTGATCTTCTTCATAGGTGGGTAAATTAGGGGGGCTTACGGTAAAATTGCCCTAAGTTTTTTATGTTGACAGTTTCTAACATTTTTGACTATAAAATTTGGAAAACCAATGTTTTCTTTATAATAAAGCTACATTTGTTGCATCTCGCTAAGACGCACCATTTTCAAGAAAAAAGATTTTGAATATTTCATGATAAGTTGATGTTATCTTATTCGAAAATGTAAACAATAATTAGTAGGCCTGTGAACTCAAAAATTTATTTTTTTTTACTTTGGAAAACCGGTGACTAAAGTAATTTTAGAAAATATTTACAAAAATGTGCCATCATGACTTCACTTGTAACACCCTGTATCTCGAAAATGAAACGTTTTCGGACCTATGTTTATATGAACTTTTATTCCTATTTTAGGATGTAGATTACGCTGTTAAAATATGACCGTCTAATTTCGGGACACCCTACATACTGGTAGTTTTCAGAATAATTCAATTAAATGGTTTCTTATCAATGGCAGTAATAAGTAAATATTAGAAACTGTATTCTAAAGTAGCATACAACATTTACATTTAGTACTTATTATTTTGTATTAGGCATAGTCGTGCTTTTACAGCTAACGCGGTATCTTCAACATCTTCGCTATTGCTATACTCTCTTATTTTGTCACTGAATTCGGCTCAGCTAATATCCCACCACCATATCTTTTAATTCTAGTCGACGACTGAGTGTAATCCTGTTGATATTTAATTAACACGAAAAAATAAGTACCTATAAGTATCTACATAATAAACACAATTTTATTAATTTATTGCAGATTTCCACTGGATCCAGAAAAACGTAAGAAATTCATACATTTTGCAAATAGAAGTTCTAGGGTATCTACGATATATAATGTATTATGATCCAAGCACTTTCTTAAACAACACTTTGATTTAAATTCTAAATATTAAGTTCGTCGAAAAGAAGATGCCATTTCTACTATTGATATAACACAGGTAAAAATGTAATCATGTACCTAATTACTTATTGGGTATTTATCTAACAATTGTTAACTCTTCTTGATAAACAATAAACATTATTATTCTTAATATTATAATACTCTACTCATAAATACAAAATAGACATTAAAAGTATATTCAAAATCAAGACCATAGACTTTTTCGCTACCCTATACACTTTAAAGACATTTTTACAATAAATAAGTATAACTAAGTATTCCTGAAAGAAAAAATATTATAACAAAAGATTTGATATAACAAAGTCTCTCAGATTTCTTTGCAATCTCAATTACATAATTAATAAAAAAAAAAAAAAAAAATAATTCAATTACTTACATGATTTAAAAAATTACTATTCTTCGTTGCCCAACCAATTTGCATCACTCCAGGTGTTATAATACATACTTCATAATACCATATTCCCTTATCGGCTTGGGCTGTACACCTTACACTTTCGAAGGAATAGGCATCGCATCTAGCCTCCAGACCATCTGGTGATATTTTCAAATATTCACTAACGTCTGAAGTGTTTAACATCGCATTTATCTTTTCTGTGTTAATGGTTTGATAGGTGTATTGCCGGGCTTCCATCACAACTGAAAATGTTTTTTTAGACTTAAATTCGAATATTTTGTTTTTTGATATATTTTGGTTGCATAATAATATAAAACATTCTCTAACTGGATAAGTTACCAGAGCAGTGGGCTAGCGTTTTAAATTTTAACACCCTTTTAAAAATGATTATTTTTAAAGGAATCTGTTTAAATATTGGCAGTCAGTGAATACTGTGAATAGGAATAGTAGTTTGTGCAACAAGACTGGACATGATGACAAGACCATCCACTCAAGAAGTACATTATATTTTTTCTACGACCCTCTAACAGAAATCAGCAAAATTAAATTAATTTATAAATGTTACTAATTTATAAAATAAAATATACTTGAAAAAAAGATTTTATTTAACTAGTCTTTAATCCCGGATTTAAACCCCTGACTTTTCGCATAGCATCTCAGTACTCTACCTCCGCGCCTAGGATACACCTGCTTTTTTTATTTTTTAATACTCAATACTTAAATTGATTTTAGATGGTTTTATTAAAATATTTAAGATATATTTGATAATATAGACGAATATCTTGTTGAGTGCTATTGTTTATCGATTCTTCACAAGAATCACTAATTTTTAATTATATTTAATCTCACTAACTAAAAAATATATTGACAATTGGTTTGGCAGAATAATCTTATTTTCTTAAAATCATATTAGGACAAATAAACAAAGAAAAAATACCTAACTAAAACCAAAAAATAACAAAAATTGCTCAAAGTGCAATCATGTCTTTATTAACAAGAAGACCCATGCAGAGCATTTAGTTATTTTGCCAAAAATATTAATTCCGCCATGTAGTTTACCTAATAATGTAATGAAATTCCTAAAGTCGACTCTGTGTAAGCAAGCGCGACCTTCAGCTGGCCTCACTCATGCTCGAGGCGACTAAATATTCTGGTAATGCCACTGAGTCTCGAGAAACGGATAGAACGAGCAAAGTGTGCCGTTGAGTCAGAGATTGAATTTTCGGGACCGTCTAGAGACTTCTCTTAAATGTCAAATTATTTAAAAATGTATGCTTCTTTTGATATTTATTGCAAATAATTTGTAGTGTATCTCAATTAAGGCTTTCCATAAATAAAGGTACAAGACAGATAATATAATGTTCTTATACAAAGCACTTTTTTATTATATAAAAGAGAGGTAGGATATAATGCTGGTTTACATATTCAACCAGCGAATTGTAAATAATAATTAGTAAACTCCTAGTCATAAATTTCCTCAATTCATAAAATTTAAAAATGAATCTTCTTACCTTGGGATTTTAATGAAGTAATGTGATCAACTCCTTTCAAATTTTGATCAATTATGATACCGAGGTATTTTGTTGTGTTTTTCATTTTAATTATAAAGTTGTCATTTATTTGTATGTTGAAAGAAGGCCTCTATAAATTACATTGCTCTCTATCTACTTTAACACATAAATAGCTTTGTGGCTATAAGTTGCTATAACCTATCGTCTCAAAACTATTAATAATTTAAACATAGTAAGTAGTAAAACGAGGGGTAAAATAACAATAAATTAAGGGAAATACTTAAAAGGGGCAGTTTTAAAGAGTATTATCACAAGAAAGTATATCCGTTCTGTTTATTAATCAAGTATTGTTTTTAATTTCTGTAGGCAGTCTATTAAATTTTTTAAACCTTTAATAAAAATTAAATTTTGGGAACTTTTAGTGATGGCTTGCCGTACATGAAAGTCAGATTGGCTTCTTGTATTATAGTTGTGATATTGCGGATTATATTGAATTTTTTCTAATAGATCTGATGTACTAAACAAAATTCTGATTTTATTTCTGAATTTATTTCTTTTAACACAGTTGCAATACTCATCCTTCTTTCCTTTATTAATAGAATATAAATTGGCGAAATAAGGAGCCCAAATATTTTACATGAGCAGGCTTAAGAGGTAAGGGGGGCCAATTATTATTGATTAAATTGCTTGAACAAGTTTTTAAACCCTAATCAAAAGACGATATAGAATGGTTTTAACAATCAAGGCTTGTGAAAATCATCACATGGTTGAACCCAAGTAATGCCAATGCTTCACAAAACAAAAATTTCAACGTCCTAATACTAGTATCGGCTTTCGGTCTTTCGTTCCAAGTTATTCATTTCTCGTTTTTGTTACGCTACGAGTTTACCCTTGTGGACCTCAGTCTTGATAAGGTGGGAACCACCATTTTAGCGTCTCTCGAATTTTATTTTATTTTTTTATTTGCTACTGGTGAATGGATGTTCCTTTTGGACTCCAGGATCCTTTGGCTGGCGACAGTGCTGCCTTAATCCCTTGACAACATTAGCTACAGAGCCATCAGTTGTTACAAATGGCTTTTTAGGCTAGTTGGTTGTTACAATTCTGCTTGAAATACACATAAGATTTTTTGAAAGATAACACCATTTTCCCAAAATATAGTGTCAAACTGATTTTTGGCAAGCACACACTAACGTTCTCCTTGAAATAAGTTTGAATGAGCAGTTATACTGTTCATTATACTTTGACATTTCTTCATTAATGGATAGCGATCAGAAAAAAATATTTATAAGGTTCTATTGGATCCATAAATAGAAGTGAATACCAAAAGTTCGAGATTCTCAATGCTAAAAAATGTTATTTTTGTAAGAGACTGTATACAACACATGTAAGCTTATACAGTGAGCATCATAAGTCTTACCTCCCTCCCCCCCCCTATCTAACTCTTTACTGAAGTCTTATTAGGAAAATCGCCGAGACACGTCGATTTTTGATTTCTACAATGTACATTTTTGTATGAATAATTTACCCTTAATTTCATCCCTTACTGGAGGCGAAAAACCTTTTCGAAAAATTTAAATAGCATGAGGTGGTGAGTGATAGCTCATTTGAATGGGGGTTTTATTCTCTATTCAACCGTGCAAAAAAAATTTAAATTTGCTTCATTACGTGTTGATTTATTAATGTTTAAAAATAACAAAACATCACAAACAGGAAAGCAACTAAACTAACAGTGACCTTATCTGTTATTACAATAAATGTTCAAAATGTTCCCCGTTGACCTCCTGGCAAAAATAAAGTCTATTTTCAGTTTCAGCACTGACACTTTGCAAAGTTTCTCGAGTAATTGTTGCACACACTTCCGCAACTCCTGAATAGAGTGACACTGAGTCTCGTATACTTTCGATTTTAGGTAACCCCATAGAACAATTTCTAAAGGGGTTAGATCTGGTGATCTTGGAGACCATTCCACAGATCCTCGGCGCTCGATCCATTGTCCTGCATAAACAGTATTCACAGCAACTGCAAAATGAGGAGGAGCTCCATCTTGTTGCAAAATAATTTCCATGTCAAATTCGTCTACATTATTTTCGAAAGTTGCCACTATCAGTGGATCTATCACTGTTTCCAGCATTTCCAAATAGAGGGTACCAGTCAAATTTTCCTCAATAAATTATGGACCTATAATGTAGTCACCCAGTATTCCTGCCCACACATTAACTTTTTTGTGGAAACTGAGTATGAGTTTCGCGAAAAAGTCGAGGATTTACATCAGACCAGTACCTCACATTTTGTCTATGCACGTGACCGTTTTAAAAAAAAGTAGCCTCATCACTAAAACAAATGTGTTTCAAATAGCTGGAATTTTGCAAAATAATATTAATAATTTCACAATATTCTAGACGGCGGTCTGGATCATCCTCCGTCAGTTCATGAACCATATTTATTTTATAGGGATTACATTTTTTTTTCAGAACTCTCAATTCAGTCATCTGCGAAACCTCACAATTCAAGGCAACAGTTCTATTCGATGAGGACGGATTATTGACAAATTCGGCCATAATGTTCACTTGTTTATATTCCCCAGTAGTTGATTGCCCAGAACGTTTTTTGTTTTGCACACAGCCGTTTTCATAAAATTTTTCCACTGTTTGAAATAATGTCTATCAATAAGGTGATCTGGAAAACGTTCATTGAACATTCGTACAGCCTCATGATAATGCGACGAGTCTCACCAAAAATAACAATCGCTTCGCATTTTTCGTAGTCCAACTATTGTATGGAGATGAATAGCAATCAAAACTAACAGCTAGAATACAATGACTCGCACTCTCCATGATATCAGTTTATTGTTTTGACCATTTATCCTCAAAACAATGCAAAAACATCAACAAAAACGCGCAGTTAATATCCAAGCATAACGGCAAAAAGTCTCACTTCACATCTGAACCAAAACCGATATCATGTAGGGCCGAATTTTAATTCTAAGGATGAGTGCGCTACGTTAATTTTCGTTATTCTGAAACAATAATTAGTCGAGAATTAATGGAGCAGATTTCTATTCCTTTGCACGGTTGAATAGAGAATAAAACCCTCTTTCAAATGAGCTATCACTCACCACCCCATGCTATTTAAATTTTTCGAAAGAGTTGCTCCCCTCCAGTAAGGGATGAAAATCGACATGTCTCGGCGATTTTCCTAACAAGACTCCAGTAACGAGTTAGATAGGAGGGGGTAAGACTTATGATGCTAACTGTATATACAGATAAGTTATTATTTCAAGTAAAATCCATCCGGCAACGTTGCAAATAAAAAATGTTTTTATTTTCTTAAACTATTAATGAAAATACGTAATAAGGTATTTGGATAATTTCTTAACCATACATCATTACCTTAATTCTTACAAAGGGTTTGTTTTGGTTCAAACAGAACCGTCGATTCCAGTTCTCAAATAGGGTGTACGAATTAATTTTTCAAAAATACGTTGCGCGGTTATAACAACCTCTTAGCTGATCGAGTGTAATTAATAGTGGATTTTATTTGTTGCACCAGTGTCACACTTGACACTGTATTCAAACTGTCATACTTTTCAAAAGTATGTGCTACACGTGTGCTACAGTCAAATATTTGAAGCTACACTGAACAAATCAAATGCGATTAGTGCAGAAAACTTACACCTAGTGCAACAAATAAAATCCACTATCAGTAATTCTGAACTAGTTTCCAAAAGAACCAAAACAAGACTAAAGTAATCTAACAGACATTTGGGTTACCGCGCGTTAAGTGTAGCGATTATAATGTTGCCAAGTTATAATCATTGTACCCCACTACGAATCGACTGCTTTAAAAATATTTTTATTTTAAAAATATATATTTTTTACCAAAACCGTCAAAAAAATTAGCGTTTTTTTAGAAAATTTTATAACTTCTTGATTTACATTACATTAATTTTTAAAAAAATATAGTAAGAACCGTTTTCGAGATATCTTGAAGTAAATGCATTGCTTGTGTGAAAGTCTTCAAGAGTGTTAAGTATGCACATTTTGATTGTTAACATCTCGTTTCACAGACGGTAAAAAAAAATTTTTCTATGTAAAAGACACGTTCATTAACCTTATAAGAAAAGCCGTTTAACGAGTGAACTATCTTAAGTTTTCTATTTTTTAATTAAACAAAAATCCGAGTCACGTAGATCAAATTGATTTTGATACAAAGAGAAGATTGAAAATTGCAATTTTGACATTTTAAGTTTCGTATTATTATAAGTTACTTACAAAGATTGTCAAGTATCCATTGCGCACAAAAACCAACTTGTCTTTGCACAAAATGCTGTTCTTCTTTCCAAGACTCAAGCAGGGATATGGGGCATATTGGTAAATTTTTAATTTTTTTCATAATAGTAATTTTGTTGCTACTAGTTTGCGCGAATTTTTCTAATGCTATTAGGGAGAATAATATTACACTAGGATCAGTCACAGGATCCTAAAAAAAAAGAAGCAACGTTAGTAATCTAAGTTTTTAGAAGTAATGAGTTGATTCATGGACTAAAATATGCATTGCCATTGGAATTCAAAATAGGAAAATTAAATTTTTTTCCTATTACACCAACTTTGTAATTCTTATGGTTTGCAAAATTTCAATAGTCTCTTACTAATATTTATCAATTATCTGGACTTTTGTAACATACGAAAGAAATGGGATACAAAATTTTAATAATTTTTTTAAAATTATCATTTATATTTACTATTAGTTAGGAAATGGTTGAAACCCATTGTGATATTGTAATTAGATTAAAACTGAATGAATGTTTTACGTCATTCATATTTTTTTAATTTAAAAATAGGCTAAAATGATAAGATGGGGAATTTAAATACCACATAACTGATAAAATATTACACTCAATCTTATAGATCATTAAATATACAAAATAATAAAGATTTTTAGATATTGCTTCAGAAGAAAAATAGATATATTTTTAATTTAAAATTTTTATATTTCGAAATATAGATGTTTTAATTGTACTTACCAAATTAGTCAATAAATAGTCTATAATACCGTCATTCAAAATTTCCATATTTCTTGGACCAGCCAATTTTTCCGCAATACAACCAAGGACTACACAAATATTTCTTTGTATAGGGGGATTAGACCGGCCTAATATAGCAGCTTTTTCAGATAGATCTAACATATTAACCACCTACATAAAAAGAAAATGTTAGAATTTCAAGAAATTTGCAATTAATAAGATTGTAAAAATTCATTCAAAAATGTAATGTATTGAACAAAGTCCAATGTACAATTGACCAAATACATTTAGTCCATGTTTGTGTAATGTCTTATACATTAAGGTCTGAAATAAAGTTTAATTAGATTCTTGACGGTACTAATCTCCAGAAAATATATTCATTTAAAGATCTAGAAGTAATATTTGATCCTGAATTATCATTTGTAAATCACATCGAAAATATTATATTATCTGCTAACAGATCTTATGGACGCATTGTTCTGTACACTCGAGATTTTACAGATAGTTACTTTTATTAATAATAAACAGCGAATATCCCGTTTTAGAAAAATTATTACAACATAAAAATTATAACAATATAAAAATACAATGCAAAATTGTACGTTCACATAACATCTTTTAATTCAATATTAAAAGAATTACGATTAACACTGAAATTTACAGGGTGTGAATATACTGTGGAACATTCGATAAATAAATTCCTTCCATAATTAGTCCTTGCGAAAAGGATTATAGAAAATATAGTTTTGACGAGTTGCTTTAGGCAGAACATGAATACCTACTTTACTGAGCGAATGTGAACATGCTATGTGAGAATTTGAAATATTGTACAACATTGTAAGATCCTTATGGATGCGTCTAATTGTGATTGGTAGAAGGTTTAGTTCTAATTCTAGATTTGTATAATTAATATTAGTTAAATTAAAACCTTTTTTAAAAGTGATATAATGTAAAAACTTGTATTTGACTCTTTCTAGTTTGTAGAATAGTTTGAAAATTCGGAAACAAATATCAAAAATCCGTATACGAATTATTACGAGCACCCCCGAACCCCAAAGGTGAAAACCCATAATTGGAGATTTGAAAAGAAGCTTGTCGCCAGTGGGATTCGAACCCAGACATCTTTGTTCTGTACACAAATGCCCCTACCTAGACGGCAATTTGTTGTGCTAATTCGGGCCAAGCGCCGTTTCAAGCTCGTTCTCAAATCTTCAAATAGTTCTATACAGCATCAGTATACAGGGTTGGCCAAACCTCTGTCGTAGTTCTATAACTCCTACTATGCAAATCTTAACGATTTATTTGATGTATACCTGTCAATGGTGGCCAATACCAAATATCCCAAAATTATTTTCTTGTGTACAGGGTGGCCCAATAGTAAATTAGGCAAATCACTTAATTTTTTTTTAATGGAATGACCCAACTTTTTTTACAATTTTAGGTACTCTATGGTCACTAGTACATACCCACAAAATATTGTTTCTAACATCCCACCCCTTTCGCAGAAAAAAAAATTACCAAAAAATATTACATTTTCAGACGCCTATTAAAATATGCAGTGCTCTCTCGAATTTGATGTTAGAATTTAAAAAACTACGATTGTATAAAGCCAATAGACCAAAGATTTTTTTAGACCAAGTTTGAATTTTTTATTTTGTACAGGGTGGTCACAAATTAATTTCACTTTCCAAAAATTTCGAGGGAAAATTTTTAAAATGTATTACCCTGTATTTCTATTCATCAACTGAAGGAGAATTTCATACCCTTCCACTTCCCTATGTACTTTCCTATACCTATCTGTCGCCGTTATAAAATAAATTCAAAAGGAAGAAAATTACGATAATAAAATTTATTTGAAATTTATCCTAAAACATAAATTTACATTTTATAAAAGATGCTCAAAATGTCTGCCATTTTCTCTAATGCATACATTTATTCGTTGGGCGAATGATAGAGAAACGTTTCTAAGCATATCAGGTGTAATGGAATGGAAAGCTTGCACTATCCTTTCTTTCATATTTTCAGGGGTTGTAGGTGGCGTAAGATAGACTAGATTTTTAATATAACCCCACAAAAAATAATCGGGTTTTTTTAAGTCAAGTGATCGAGCTGGCCATTTTTTTGGACCATTTCTACCAATCCATCTATTTGGAAACTTTTCATCTAATTCATCTGCCACTTCGCGTAAAACATGCGCTGCTGCCCCATCATGTTGGTACCACATTGTTAGTCTTACAGCAAGGGAAATGTTTTCAAATAAAGTAGGAAGATGATTTGTTAAAAAATCTAATTGCCTTCAAAAAAATACGGCAAATAACATGATCCCCAATTATACCTCCCCAAACATTTACACTCCATCTTTCTTGGCTATGTGTTCTGATGATGTTAGGATTTTCCGTGGAATAATAGTGGAAATTATGTCTATTAACGAATCCGTTCTTGTGGAATGTAGATTCATCAGAAAACATAAAAAAAAAATGGATTTTGTTGCAGTTTAGTATGTGCCCAGTTACAAAACACCATTCTATTATCAAAATCGGTGTCTTTCAGCTCTTGATGCAATTGTATTTTATAAGGATGATATTGATGCTGTTTTAAAATCCTTCTAACGGATGTTCTACTTATACCTACTACTTCGGCAATCTTTTTTTGACTTACATGAGGATCTTCTATCGCTGTCAAAATTACAGATAATTGGTTATCATTATCAGTAGCACGTTTGTCAATTATTGGTTTTTTATAAGCAACATTTCCCGTTTCGGTAAATCTTTCATGTAACTTTTCAAAACTTTTTTGATCAGGGATGCGTCTATCGGGATATCGTTGATGATAAATTCTTTTTGCCAATAAACAATTTCTGTCGGATTCTCCCAAAACATAGACCATGTCAATTAATTCGTTTTTCGTAAAATTCATTATTAATAGAAGAATTATCGCTATCAGTAAAAATAACTTGACACTTCATTAATAAATAATCTGACACTTCATTAAGACCCAGCCTACTTGATTGAATGTTCACTTTCAATAAAACCACTGGTAGAAATTGGATTTTTGATAGACCAATGTCTTTTTGGAATTTACTTTTAAACGACGACAGATAGGTATAGGAAAGTACATGGAGAAGTCGAAGGGTATAAAATTCTCGTTTCATCGATGAATAGTAATACAGGGTGTTCTATTTGAAAAATTTGAAAAAAAGTCCTAGAAATTTTTGGAAATTGAAATTAATTTGTGACCACCCTGTACAAAATAAAAAATTAAAACTTGGTCTAAAAAAATCTTTGGTCTATTGGCTTTATACATTTGTAGTTTTTTAAATTCTAACGTTAAATTCGAGAGAGCACTGCATATTTTAATAGGCGTCCGAAAATGTAATATTTTTGGTATTTCTTCTTTTTCTGCGAAAGGGGTAGGATGTTAGAAACAATATTTTGTGGGTATGCACTAGTGACCATAGAGTACCTAAAATTGGAAAAAAAGTTGGGTCATTCCATTTAAAAAAAAATAAGTTATTTGCCTAATTTACTATTGGACCACCCTGTACACAAGAAAATAATTTTGGGATATTTGGTTTTGACCACCATTGACAGGTATACTTCGAATAAATCGTTAAGATTTGCATAATATGAGTTATAGAACTACGACAGAGGTTTGGCCAACCCTGTATATGAGAAATGCATTGATGCATATAATTTATAGTTGCAAATGCATACAACTTGACGCCGATTTTCCAGAAGTTTAGGCAGGCAAGAAGTTTACCGTCAATACTTAGCATTTTCAGTTTATAGATTAACGCATCTAATATGTGATCACTGTATGTTATCAAATTTAGTTTACTTAATTGTTGAAGTTGAAAAGCAAATTGCCTACTAAGGAAGTTACAAAATCGCAAATAAGGTTTTCAAAAAATTTAGGTATTGTACTCAGAATGTTAATAGGTCTATAGTTCCTCACCTGAAATCTGTTGCCAGATTTAAATATGGGAGTAATGAAGCTTGTTTTCCATACTGATGGAAAAATACCTGTTAAGAGTGATAAATTGAATATATGAAATAGAAGTAGTGCTAATATGAAACTACAGCTTTTTAAGAGAGAAGGCCCTGGACCCTTGTTGATGTCTAAGGTAGATAATTTTATGTAAATATCAGATAATTTAATATCACAAATGATGACATTAATAGCACTAAAGTGGAGTGGTATTTCTGAGGTATCACAATTATTTATACAGTTGAAAAAAATCTAAAGATATTTACTATCTCATTTCCTTGCGAACTTTTTATTTCGTTAAAAGATAACTCGTTTGGAAAGTTTGATACTTTCTATTTAGCACTGATACATTTCCAAAATTATTTTAAAATATTAGGTAAGGAAGAATCAGTTGTATGGATATAATTTTAGTTGGATTCTTTTGTTAATCGTTTACAAAGTGTTCTGAGTCTTGGGAATTCCTGATAGTCGAGTACTGAATTTGTTTGATTTATATTTTTTTAATTGTATACAATTTCTTATATAGATCAATTAGCTAGATATATTGTAAAAAATTTCACCGAAGGTATAAAGAGGTTGATTATTAAATAAGTGGTCCCAATCCACATAACCTCTCAAATAGCTTTATTTCACATTCATTCGCTCTAAGTTTGCATGATGAGCTATTAATAAGGCATTCAATTTGCAGCCTGGAAAAACGAAGAATTTTTTTTTAAATTGTCTTCTATTCAAAATTGTCAGAATCAATGTAATTTTCAATATTTTCTAGAGAAACTTCCTTTCTGTTTCTAGGTTGATGTCTTGAGTAAATCTGACTTTTTACTTGTCAACCTTGCATACTAACGTTTGTAAAAACTAGCTGCTACAAAGAATATGCAACAATTATAACAGCATTTTTGTCAAATTATAGATATTTTTGACACGTCTCTTTTTAAGATTGTCTTTTTAGTTTAGTAGTAACTTAATAGTAATAGATTATCATAAAATGTATTATACTTATACGTTCTTAGTTTGTAATTGGAGCTACACTGTAAACTTAGCAAATAACTAGATATAAAACAATGATTTTAAAAATCCACTTCACTCATTAGTTAAACAAGCACTGCATCTCATTTTCAAACAAAATATGTCTATGGCATTAGATACATCAAGAAAAATAGATAGTTATTGAAAATTATAATAAATTAATCGAAAAACTAGAATTCTTATAATACCTGATTTGAAAAACGCTTCAAATATCTATTCAAATATTTTTATTTTGATATCACTGTCTTTTGATTTTATATAAATACCATTAAATTTAATATTTAGAAAACCATTCAACTTTTTAGGCAGTGCCTCCCTGTAAAAATTAAGTGTTCTAGTTTTCTCTGAAATAAATTACAAATATTCAGTTAAAAGTTTTTAAATATCGGAGTGTTGAATGTATTTATAATATCTAAAAATATAACTATCCACTTGATTAATTATTTATTATATTTTTCTAATAATTAGTCATTAAAAAAATAATGAGTTTAATTTGGACCTTACTAAAAATACTACCGATAGTTAAGAATATTTAAATAAAAATTTTCTTTTAATAATTTTAACACAGTATATTAGTCAACTTATAATTAAGAACAATTATTATATGAATAGTAGTTCTGAAAATTGTACTATAACAATGTCAGTAAAAAAAAAATTGGTTTGCAGATCAAGTCATCAAAAACAATCAAACATATTTTTTTTGTAGGAGAAAACTGCAACACATTTTAATGTAATTTAATTGATATAGAAAAGTCAAAATGGTAAATAAATATTTATTATATACCTTAAATACTGATTCTTTGGATGGCAAAGGGCAATCATCCAATAATAAAGTAATCACAGAAGGTCCTAGAGGATCTTGCATCGGGATGACATGAATCATGGAATTGACAACCTGAATCCAACCTTCTTCATTATCAGCTATGTTATGTAAAAGAAGCATTGAACTTGGAGGTTCTTGTTCACTGAAAAAAAAAAAAAAAGGTTATAGCATTGTATAAAGCTTCAATCCTGATACTTTTTATTTATAATGCTCAAAAATCCATTATGATCTTATAAAATTCAAAGTAATTAAAATGAAATAAATGACTGTTACTACAACTAAATGCAGCAATTATTTGTCAGGAATATATTGGTAATAATTACCAACCAATTATTGGTTTTAATATGGATACACTTTACTCACAATCGGCTAGTAATCTGTTGATTTAAACCCTTTCAAAAGTCAGGAAGCGACTTATTACTTACTTCACTTTCCCAGCTATCCGGGAAGTAACTTTCCTGCCTAGCAAACGTCTCCTATTATATGCTTCGTAAGTGTTTTTGTACCGTTCCATGCTTTTTTCCAGAATCATGCCATAAGTAGCTTTTTGCAGCTACTCATAGTTCTATTGGGGTACATTAAAGGTAACTGTCCGGCATATTTGGAAGTATATAATGTCAATTTTATTATTAAAAGTGCCATTAAATTTGTAACTGGCAAATTAATTATCTAACTGTCAGATTCGACCAACTTGTTATATTAGTCCATTTAAAATAGCGGTAAAAGGTCGAGAAACGCCGCACTTGACGAGACCACTTGTCCCCTACGTATTTTGGGGCGCTGATTACGAAAATGAGGGTTAAAACTGGCAGCAATGGTTGGAACACGCCTAAAATTGCACAAAACATCCCTAAATAGGGGTGTTTTTCGACGGCACTTGTTGTTTTGCAAACTAAGCCATCTTATATATTTTTTGGTGCGCTGATTACAAAAATCGGGGTTAAAACTTGCAGCAATGGTTGAACCACCCCTAAAATTGCAAAAAACACCTCTAGATAGGGGTGTTTTTCGACTGCACTTGTTTCCCTTACAAATCTGATAAAACCACTAGAAAAGTGCTCCATTCTTTGGGTTTTAGATATCGCACCTTAAATAGAAGACAGCATATTATGGAATCTCAAAGAATTATGATTTTACGTAATGAATACCTTACTAAAATAGAGGAAGCTCGTCGGCAAGATAGATTCATAGTGATCAATCTGCTAAATGTTCTATAAATGCTCCTACAAATAGAGGAAAATGTATTAAAATATTACATGCCGGTAATGAAAACGGTTTTGTGCCGAATTGCTTGCTATTATCAGCAATGAATATTTTGAGATGTTCAGCAGATTATCACCAAGATATGACATCTACCTTGTTCGAGAAATAGTTTGGTGAACAATTAATTCCTAACTTTCCACCAAATACTACAATAGTAATGGATAATGCCCCCTTCCACACTCGTCAAACTAGTGAAATTCCAAAAGCAAAAGCTCGAAAAGATGTAATTTCCGCGTTTTTGGACAGACTGGGTGTATCTTATTTACCTACAGCTTTAAAAAAAGAATTGCTTGCAATATTAAAAGGCTTTAATCTCAAACCTAGCTATGTTGTGGATGAGATGGCTACAGCATTCGGTCATACCGTATTTCGCTTACCACTGTATTATTGTACATTTAATGCAATAGAATTAATTTGGAGTAACATCAAAAGGGAGGTCAGAAAAAAAAATGTTAATCCAGCATTGTCTAAAAGCGTTTTAGATGTTATTAGAGAAGTTGGTGGAGGTATATCTCAAGAATTATGGTCCAATTAGGTTCTCCATGTTACCAAAATTGAAAATAACCATCGAGTATTTCCGAACTCATTCTTGCATTATTATGCACGTCAAGTGAAGATGATAGTTCTGATGAGATTTGATTTTCCATTTTGGTTATATTTTTACGTTATTAAACGTAACCACGCATCTGTTGGCTCACGTTATTTTGGAAAGGAACATGATATTGTTCTTGTTTTTCTTCTCTAAGAATGTAACCTTGACGTGGTGAGAAGGCTTGCGTGCTTTAATCACTTTAGAAATTAAAGCCAGACTAATACATTTCAAAATTATTTAATTTTTTTATAAGAGGATACAAATAACAGTTGTTCAAGCATTTTTCGTAACATCTTAAATTGATTTTTAATATTCAATGTAATATTTAAATATAATAATTAATTTTGACTTTTAAACTAAATTTAGTAACATTTATTAAATACTTAATCAAAGTTAGAAAATAATGCGAATAATGTCATACTTTTTAAATGCATATAATATTTCCACTTGAAATATACAATAATTTTAAATTAAAACGTAACATACAACTAATTAGATCCGTCCCTGGGCTTCGCTTAAAGATGTCTATATATGAATCCCTTTGTTGTGCCGAAAGAGAAAGAATATCTTTACCTTCAACTATATCGATATTAATGTAACTGGCAAATTAGGTATCTAACTGTCAGCTTTGACCAACTTGTTATATTGCTCAGCAACGGTTTCATAATGCTAAATATTTTTATAAAGTTATGATAGAAATTAATACCAATATTATTATTTGAAACATATACAGGGTGGCTCACGCTCAACGGGACGGAGCTTTATGGGAAAACGACCAAAGATATAAAAAATTCGTTTGGGAGGAATACGTAGGTTACAGACGGCTACAATTTAAAATTTGTTAGATGTATACAGGATGTTCCACATAAGAGAAAATATACAAAGTTATATTATTTTTAATGGAACACCCTGTTTTTTATTTTAGAATTAAAAACTACATCAAAAATAATGTCAGTTAACTAAAGGTTCCCTATTACTATTATTATTAGTCTTCGATTTATTTGAATTTTTAAGGAAAAAAAGTCTCCCAGAAATTAATTGTTTACTCTTGTTTGAATAATTTTTAATGAACTAATTTTTTTTTCTTATGTGGGACATCCTGTATACATCTAACAAATTTTAAATTGCAGCCGTCTGTAACCTATGTATTCCTCCCAAACGAATTTTTTATATCTTTGGTCGTTTTCCCATAAAGCTCCGTCCCGTTGAGCGTGAGCCACCCTGTATAAAATAGGAGACTTGTGAATAAAATCACATACATACTTCAGGAAAACTCATTCTAGCCTCATGTTTGTACCTTGACACTTGGCTGTAATAGAGTACTTTCCTGCTCGGTACGTAAGATAATATTATTTACTTGAGAAATCACCTACTGACATTACATTAAATTCTCTATTTGTATTTTGTTCACAAATATTATCATTATTTTAAAGGGAAAAGCAATAAAAATTAATGTTTTAACTTATGATGAAATATTATTTAAATAAGTATACTTTAATATGAAGAATTTTTAAATTTTCAATCTTTGACTAACCAGCATTAATAGACCATTACAAAAAACTTAAAATCAAATCTAAGTATGACCTATTTAAGTTAGGCATAGCCTCACTCTTTTATGACAAACATCGAATCTTTTAGTCATTACTGACCTATACATGTTTACAAATTATTACTTTTTTTAATTAGTCAGCTTGTAAAACAGTAAAATAAATATAGATTAGCTCAGATACATAATTAGTTTGTTTATTTATGAGAATTTCAAACATTTTTTTTTTAATAAAATTTAGCAAACAACAATATTAAAAGGGGAAGATTAATGTAAGACATAATCTACCAACTAACTCATAAATATACAGTGTGCGCCATAAAGTTGCATCAATATGGGATAATTTTTTTTTAATATTACATTTGGAAAAAACTTCATAGGGCAATGATTTTTGTTTATTTAGAAACTTAAAACAGCTCATATCAAAGTTAGCTACTGACATTCGTTATCTGTTATATTCGCTTTTTTTTTGAAATTGTCCAAAATCATCATGCTTTAGAATAATTGTAATATTCATAAGAAAATAACCACACCATCAAACATTATTAACAAAAATTTGTATGGAACTGTTGTCTTCTCTCTTTCAAAATCGGTATATTGGCGTAAAATGTCATTAGAAACAAGTTTCTCTAATAACTTGTTTTATATTAAAAAAAAAAAAAAAATTTAAAAGATTTAAAAAATGCGAATCTCACAGATAACTAATATCAGTAGCCAACTTTGGTATGGACTATTTTAATATTTTAAATAAGCAGAGGTGATTGCCCTACCAACTTTTTTTCCAATCGTAATATTTAAAAACATTTCCATTTGGATTCAACTTTATGGCACACACTGTATAAATAACAATATTTTAAAATCATATTATGATTAAACATTTCCTTATACATGACTTCATATTTATTAATTAAGTAGGTGTATTACAAATATAGATATAAGATGTAAACAATTACCTTCAAAAGAAAGTAGATTAAAAATATGGATTACCTAGATATCAAAAAACAAAAGTTCTTCTTATAATATTGACAAATAGCAAAACATTATACACAGAAAATTTATTATGGTTCAATGATGCTTTTACTATAAAAGTTAGTAAAATCCATAAGTAGCACAATAGTAAATGTTTAAATGCCTATATGAACTAAATTAATAGACCAAATTATAAAAGATCAATGAAGATTTTTATTGGTTTCATGCTATAATTAAATTAAAATTTTTGTCATTACATTTATTCCTAAAATAATTTAATAAGATTTATGACAATTTACAAAAGATATCTTTTATTGTTACTAAGAGTATGGTCCAAAATTAACCAAAATATCGCTTACTCAGTACAAAATTAACCACTCTGCTTGACATTCCTGAAAAACTGATTAGAAAGGGGCCTCCGCTGGCTGAAAAATGATGACTCAAATGACAATATACTAACTGGTATATTTTTAAGGCAGAAGGACTTCGGTTGTTACCCTATTGGACAGAATTTTCAGTTCAATAAATGACAATTATTAATTAATATATTTAGAATTATCATTGTCAGATGTCAATCTGTCACAGAATTGATGCGACTCTCAGTTCCTGGTTTAAATGTTACTAAAAATATCAGTTTTTTTTTTCGAAACTGTTGTCAAAAAATACTGGATGTTACGGTTAATACTTAGTTTACCATACCCTAAAAATGTCTAATGTCATCTTACAAAAAATTATATTAATTAGTATTTAACATAATATAGCACCATAATTC